CGGGGGCGTTACCCAGCTCCAAGGGATGAGGTGGTCCATGCGTGAATACGGATGCGATGTATGTTGTGATCTGTGTTTAGCAGTACGCAGAAATTATATTATGAAATGCGATCATTCGAAAACTTCAACGAATGTATAATCACTGCCTAATGGCCTATTGGTACACAATATGTTTGGTACACACTCCATCCTCTTCTGAACAAATTGGGTCTTCAATCAATACGGTGGCATTTGATATTGACGGAACTGTTGATAATGCCACGAATGATTGTCCATGGGCAGTAGAAAGTGTACAGTACAGTGTGCTGTATAGTGTTATATGTAATGTTGTTACATACCCTCACCATGTACTATATCTGAGCTGCATACAGTAAATGGTGAGGTTATTTTGAGAAAATAATAAGTGTCTGTCGTCAAAGAAAAATCGCATGGGAGATAAATCGTAGAGAAATAATAGAGACATTGATGAGGTGTCAACCGTTAATGTTGTGCAACGAAAGCACGTGTGTATCAACATTCCGCATACTCAAATGCCTTTTCCCACAACACGGTACAGATACGGTCCATGATAAAACGGAGACATGTCGACTCAAATCGTATATTGACCAATCGCTGGACTCCAAAAAAAAACCACTGTATACAAAACGGGCACTTTCTGCCAGACACCTGATTGTAAATGTTGTTTTGGCCAAGCAATAGGCCCGAAAGAAACGGCGTTACATTTTCGGGGCGAGTACCGTGTGACACACGCACGCACGTGCGCACGAAACCACTAACTTTTATATATGGATGACAAGAAAGTCAACAGCGAGCCCAAATCACACCTTGCAGTGTCGCAACTCGATCTTTACAGAGCCTTAGCCCCTGCCGGACAATTTCAGTGCCCCATTTCAGCCACTCAACAATTTTCTACCTTTTTATCGAAGTCAGAGCGATTTCCTGCCGCTGTTGCTCAAATGAGTATCAACGCAAATGGTGCTCATCTGCCGTTCTCAGCCCCTGAAGAGCCAGTGGTAGACACTCCACATTCCCATGGCGTAGATGAGTCCATCCATAGGGCTAGCACTGTTTGATATCCCCATCAGGTGCTCGTTTTATTGAGCCCCTAGAGAGATGATGGGTTTCTGAGTCAACGTCCCAACCGGGACCTATTTACTCATAGTCTTCCATCTGCAAGCCGCTCGCCATACCGCTGAGCCTTCTGGCCAGAACACAATTGCAGAAGGTGTCGAGGATTGTCTTTTTTACATCTCCGAGTATTTTGATGCGAAAACAAATGTTAAAAGTCACCGCTTATCCCCTCGTGCGTTGCCTTTCAACGTCAGAAATGCCCTCGTCGTCGTGCCGCCTGACAACGTCTTCATTGCTCGCGTCTCTCTCTCTCTCTCTCCATGCCCCGTTGGCTCGGTGGCCTGTGCTCGTCCCTGTGCCGGCTCTAAGTGCACTCGTGACGCCTCAGGAGTGCGCTACCTGCAGTGAAATAGGCTACGCAAAGTGTCCCATAATGAATGGCCGACGCCGCGAAAAATCTCGCTTCTTTCGAGTTTGCTATTCGCGTTGCGTAAAATGCACCAAGGGACCTCATTTACCATACACCACATCCGCAGTTATCTCCCGGAAAAATGACCTTCATGCCATTCGGTAAAGGTGTAGCCCTGCGATTGCTTGCCGCTCACGACACCGCTGGCCCCCACCACGATAACTGCCGTTCGCCACCATGTGGCGGTGACGTCACCACGGCACTTGTGCCATGCTAGGTGCACTTTGAGGCCACGTGAGGTGTCAAAGGCCCACTGGAAGGTCACAGAACAAACACAGGTGCCATGGGTTGACTGACTGAGATGACTATCTGATACACCAACTGTGCTCCGCACTGTGACAACTTTCTGCGTTTATCCGCCTGAAGCTCTGCTCATTGTTGTGAGCGTCGCTCTGCCTTCCATTGTTGCTGGAGGGCGACTGCCTCCAACTCCCCAGCAGCGTCCTTCACGCACCTCCTCCACAGAGGCCGATCTTGACACCGCTGGTACCAGTCATTGCCAATTCCAATCAACTCCACATCCTTCTGTACCCCATCAGTCCATCTGTCCTCTAGCCCGTGCCGTGCCCGTTAAGCCCCATCTATCTGGCCAAATAGAAGCTTCTTGGGCATGCGGTATCTGGGAATACGGGCTATATGACCCGTCCAACGCAGCCAGATCTATTAAGGATCTGTGAGCCTCTCACACAATTCAGTCTGGTTAAATGCCTCCATCACCTCGAGATGAGAGCCCTCAGAAATGTATTTGGACCACTCTTGCACGCGTGCCAGACATCTCCGAAGAGGTGGGGAGCGCCCACACTTTACCCCACCACATGGGGCCTGCCAATCAGTGTTATTTTTTTGACTGCTGCTGGGCAGACAAAGGCCAGGGGCATTTGAGAAGCTCGCACCGTCGTCGTTTTAACTGCTGCGCCGGGAGATAGAATCGAAGCGGCAACCTCTGCATTGCAAGTCCAGTGCGCTGATAGCCGGTATGTTCATGATTGGGCATTGGCTCAAGATATAACGGAAAGAGAGAGACAGCGATTAAATTCGATACTTTCGCTTTAGTGCAAATCACAGACGGCTTTACATATATTATAACAGGCAATTTCATCTTGCATTTAATACGGCAAAAGCTGCATCATCCTATGTGAATATTAAGCACAAAAGTTACCTGGCTACGTAAATTAACATGTTAAAATTGGTTTCATTTCAACCTGGCAGTAATGGGAGCAAAACACGTGTTTAAAATTGCATTTGCATGGACACCTCCTTTTGACCTCATGTTCTTTTAATACAGAATGTGAATGGCAGATAAGAATAATATAATATTTCCAGGATAGGTTATTTGAAATAGTAATTAGTATATCAATGTCCGTGTATTCCCACTGTCTCCATATGCATTTTTCTCATTTTAATTCACCATTTATACCGACAATCCAGCGACCTATCGTTCTATCACCGACCTCTCCACCCTCTCCAAGCTCCGAGAACAGCCTTTCTCTTCACTCAGCTCAAAGCACACGCTAACTCCACTCCAAACTCCCACTCCCTTCAGTCCGCGCCTTCCGTCAGACCTCCCCACTGCCGCTGGGACCCCACCGAGGATCTGCGTCGATGTTCACTCCACTGTGGCCTCGGCTTGAATGATCGGCCTCAGTTTCTCTGCAGCCTTCCACGCCGTGAACTGGGCCCCCCTGGAATCTCACTTTGATCATCAGTGGCCCAGCCCAACAATGGATTAGGTCCGACCTCTTCTGGCAAGGGTTTCTCAGTCAGAGTGGGGGAACCAAGCTCCAGTGTGGAATCCTTCAGGGTGTCTTTCCCAGGCCCCCTGCTCTTCACGGACTTAACGTTGGCCGGCTCGATTGACATCTCCCATGTCAAATGCCATTCTTCCGCAAATGACATCCTACGGTTCATGTCTGTTGATTCAACCGAAGCCTCTGGATTTGAGTCTCTCAGAGTCCACCGGTCGCCTCACAGCAGTGGTTCTGGGTCCACAAAACCCTCCTTGAAAGCTTCCGAATCGAAGCAATCCTGGTCGACGCCAGACTGCGTCTCACCGCGTCCACGCTCACCATCTAGGGGATGAATCGCTGACTCCACTATCTAATTATACGTTATCCTTCGACGGCCGCACCAACCGCATCGTCCGATTTGACAATTGCAACGTCAGGGTCCTCATGTGTTTATGCCCACTCATGGCCACCGAAATCGTCAAATCCCTTGCCTTGCAGCATAACCGGGTCTTGCCTGCAATGTCATAACTCCGTCCCTGTGTTCCATCTTCGTCGAACTACCTCAGGACACTCCAAACGCTTGAAAAACCATCTCGCCAGCGTTGTCCCCGGCGCCTGCCATCCTCGGTCAGGTTCCCTCCACTCCCTCCACTGGCTTCCCATCGCAAGCAGCGTCAGCTACAAGATCGCCCGCCCGCCCGCCCGCCTCTTGAACTTCTCTCGCACCGCACGTAGCCAACCGGGGCCGTCCGCCGCATCTGTCTGCACGTGCCACGCTGCACTACCGCTCGCGGTGAAGCTCTCCGCAGGAGCGCGACTCGCAGCCTCCTCTCTACACCGAGGAGTGAAGGCCGTCACTGCCCGGCTCCGTTTGTCCGTGACCGCACCGACCCCCCACCCCCCCCCCCGCGCCATCTGCAACGCAGCCGTCGCCCCTCTGCTGCTGCCGCTGCTGCTACTGCGCAAGTTTAGCAGCAGCAGCGGCAGCGGCAAGCGGCGTTTAATCTCCAGAGGCACGTAAAGGCCCCACCTCTGTCACCACTATCCACGCGACGCTGAGCTTGGATTCCACGCCTCACAATCATGGTCGTCTATCGTCTGTGAATTAATGTGCGCATTATAAATTGCGTTGCTGTTGATGTTGTTGTTGTTATTATTGAAGGGAAACAGTAGGGGCAGTCGCCCGAGTTCACTTCCCCAGCCATGGTCAACATCAGCGGCAGGTGACGTCTGACAGATGCGGGCGACGTTGCCAGAGGTCATTTTCAAGGACGCGCGACGACCTTGACCCCGACCACCCATCAGCCGGCGGCCAGGGGACAACTCTAACGTCACACGGCAGTGCACGAGCGGCTTATTCCAGAAGTTCACAATAGAGGAGGCCTTCCCCGGTTATTACTGGAGCTGTACAAACGGTAAGATGACACTATGCACCATCTGCCTCGCTCACGCCCGGACGTTAAAAGATCCCCTGACGTCATTCGCAAGTGGGGGCCATCGAATGCCGGCCTCAGGGTCCACATCTGCCCTATTTGAAAAATCACACCGCAAATCGCTCAATTGGGACTGTGCCACAGCAATCATCATCATCATCATCCCCTCCTGTGAAACTGCCGCAGACTGTCTCAGAGAACCAAGGCGTCCTCCTTCGTGATAGCCTTGGCCGAGGAGAATGGAGGGGTTAGGGGGGAGGGGGGAATGTGGGTTGCAGCGACTGCGACGAAGACACGTACCAGTTATGCACCATGAACTTCTGCACGGCCAGTAGGGCGTTGTAGCGTACGTCCGTGTCCACGTGATGCATGAGGCCCATCACGAGCTGCTTGCAGCCCAGCTGCTCAATTATCCTGCTCGCCACACGCGCAAGACAAAGACCCCCCTCGTAGGCTTTAACAGGCCGTCAGAAACAAGTGCCCTTAGCCAGCACCTATTTAGGACGGCATGGCACACGAGGGGGTGGGTGGCCAGCACCACACCCAGCCGCCTAGGGGAGGCCCAGGACCGGTTCAGATAATCGTCACTGGTGTTGACCGTGAGCAGGAATCAAACTCAGGTCGACAGGTTCATAGTGCAGCGCGCCAACCGCTACACTTCCGCTCCCCCACATTCACACACATGCACGTACACACACACACGCGTGTATACTGGACATCTGTGAAAAATACCTTCATAGCTCATCAGATTTCTCCAGGATAAATAAAGATCATGATTGTAGTTCTGACACAAGCGTGAAATTTAAGATGGGTACAACATCGTTTCTCTCGCGTAAGTCCAAAGTTTTGCAGTGCGATCCCAGAGAAATCAGGTCCATGTGGCAGCTCGCTGAGCTCCGTCACGGACCTAAAACCTCATTTGTTTAATGGGGGGATTTGATGATGAAATTGGGGTCGTTTGAATCGCTGCGATGATGGATGCAGCGGCAGCAGCAGCAATCGTTAAATGTGTTCGTTAGACAGATTAAATTCCAGGTGTGAATGCCGGTGCGTTTTTTGGAGAACGGTCAATAAATACAACCCTGGTGCCAGTGGTAAAATATCTCTAAAGAGAAGGATTGAGATTGAAACAAAGCTGTTGAAGGCGCAGGCCTGGATTTGCCTGCTCGCACCACGGCTGGAGGAAAAGGCCTCCGCACTAAGAGAGCACCTCGAGATACTGGCCAGACGTCTTAAAAGAGGTGGGACGTACTCACACTTTACCCCATCACACGCTACCTGCCGATAGACTATACTACCATGCTCTACCCATTGATGCAGCTGGGTGGACAGAGGACGCTGGTGGAGGGGCGGATGGGGGGGGGGCTAAAATTGAAGAAGCGCGCTCTGTTGTTTCAACTGCCGCACCAGGAAATTGAATCGAACAGGCGATCTCTGGAGTGCAGGGCCAGTATGGTAACCGTAACGACACCGTGGGAGCATCACAGGAGTGAGAGAGAACCACAGCAGAAGTGTGTTGGGACCCATCGTCGTTCATGAGCTGACAGGCGGGACAGACGACGATGACGACGATGATGATGATGATGCAATAGGTGGGCAAGCCTCTACAGCTCAAGAGAGGCCCAGAGTCTTGGCAGGGCCGGCACGCTCATGAGATGCACCCACGGCGGATAAGAGTGGGCACACATTCGTGTTGGATGTCGCGCCGGCGCTGAGATGTTTCACTTTTCCCGAGGTCGGAGATGACATTCTTCGTCAGCTCATTTATTTCGAGTTCAGCAGAGACGCTGACATGTCCGGTATCTCTGATGCACAGACGTGTACACGTGGACTTTAAAGAGAACGAGAGAACGAGTGGACTACATGGGAATGAGCGGTGCCTTGCCGCTCCTGCTCACTAACTTTTTAATATATTGACAACAACGGTATTAATGCGGCGATGGCGCTTTGAGAGGGATATTTGTGCCAGAATGGCACAACGCGTTTTACCAAAAAAAAATGTGACTTCACTTGCCTCACAGACCGAAGTGACCCCCCCCCGCCCGCGCACCCCCCCTACCCCCACTCCACTCCAATTACACGACTCGTCATCAACGTTACCCGCTTCCCCGATCACAAATGCATTCTCCACGAACTGAAAGTCCAGAATTTTCTATTGCCAGGGATAATACCGCGAGTTGGAGAGACGCTGCGTAAACTAAACTACAATACAATTTGTTTTTATTTCACCAGGTAAGGCCCACTGAGCTATACAGCTCGTTTTCAGAAGCGACCTGGCCACAAAATGATAGCTCAACGAAGTGGCTTATCATGTGGAAATCTATAGCAGCCAAATACTCTAAACGCGTGATATTCATTCTCAACGTGAAGGGAAAATTGGAGCACCCGGAGAAAAATCCACGGGGAGAACGTTGCAAATTCCAAATATACCGCAGCAGGCGTCAGGGTCCGGATCGAACCCACGAGGTCGTGAATATCTCACTACCGTGGCGATACGTGGTTTTCCAACTTTTTTTCGAATCGTCTACGCTGCATCTCGGAAGATAAGCGAAGTTGAGCCTGGTTAGCGCTTGGATGGGTGGCCACCACAAAGGGCTTGCCAGGTGTCGTAGGAGTGGCCCTTAGGTGGCGGGGCTGAGTGTTGCCACCTTGCAGAGACAGCGTGCTGGGTTCTCTCTCTCTCTGGGTACTCTGAAGTCTTCCCACATGCAATCAAACATTCGTTGATCTCGGTATTGGGCCAAAGTTCAAATAATGAACCATCCAAAAACAAAAGTCTTGAGACACATTGAGGCTTTCCTGGGTAATTAATTGCAATTAGGAAATAACACTTACTACCCAGGAACAATAAATATAAATATTTGTTACACAGTGCTTTTAATGGAGTAGATTATTAACTTTGCTTTTGTGTCCTGGTCAGAAAAGAAAAGTTCGTGGGGAATAATAGCCATTTTCTGTACTTTTGAGGCAGAAGCAATTAGAAAATAACACTTACTACCCAGGAACAAAAATGTTTTTGTTACACAGTAAATTATGGGTCATTATGAATTTTGCTCGTGTGTCTCACATTAATACAATTTTAAACTTGATCACTGGCCGTAACGGTGAGAGTAAACTGATTTTTCTCGTGACAGCCCGTGCAAGTAATTTCGCACATCCCAGCGGGTAATTTATTTCAGACAAGCAATTTCAATTCTAGTGGATCTACTGTATAGTCAAGGTTTTATTAACAAAACAGGGTCAAGTGTCACATTTATTTCAATACAGATCAAGACCCAGATAGTCCACCCAATTGGGTTGGATTCATCTCCATCTAGATCAGCTGCTGGTGTGTGCGTGTGGTTGAGACTCATCATCATCATCATCAGCCATCGTCAATCCACTGCTGGATGAAGGCCTCACCCGAGCCGCCGCTGCCGCCACTTATCACGATCCCGCGATGTAACGATCCAACGAGCTCCTGTGCTACGAGCTGATTTTGTAGTTCCATCTCCCCCGGCTGCCCACCCGGAGGTTGCGTTCCATGCCCTGCCTGCCACTCCCTTTATCATTTTTTGACCAACGCTCCCACCCCTCGCATAGCCCGAGGACTGCGTCCGTCCGATACACCGGGCCCCCTGGTGCAGTTGCACCGCCTGCACACTCGACAGTCGCGGGCTACCGCTTCGTACGTTCAGCACCCCCCAGACTCTCCGGAATGTCTCTCCGCAAGACACTCGTGTGCGTCCTCGATGACTCGGCGATGGGAAAGCTCGTTTCTGAAATCTACCCCCCACCCCACCCCCCACCCCCCACCCCCCCACCCCCCCCACCACATTTTCCAATAAATCGACAGTTACAAGAGTGGGCTGTTTTTGATTCAGCAAAGTGCTTAGAAATGATGGGTCGTATTATTATTATTACTCAGTGTGTCTAAAATGAGCTTTGAAAATGTCATGTACATTGTCCATGCCATCGTTCCCACTTTTTCCATTGTGCTGAAAAGTAATTGTATTCTCAACTCCATTGCTTGAAACTGCTGAATATATCCAGCCGAGACATCTCCCTTGAAAATAAATCATTTTTCACGACTCATTAAGTTAAATGCTTTAAATAAGCACGAAAGTAAAACAAAAACACGTACATGGCATTTTCTCTTTCTTTATAATGGTTATTCTGGTATTAAATAAAGAAGCAGAAACGTCAGTGAATACTAATGTACACAATTGAAGATGGCTTAGAGTGGTTTATCAAAAAGCAGAGAAAGGAAAGAGTACAAATACAACTTCTATTCTTCCAATGCATTCATTAGGAGAAGTGTGGGGCTGAGTGGTGGCAGATGCAGACCAGTACACAGACTATTGCATCTCATCCAGCAGTGGATTAGTAAATGGCTGTAAGATATTATTATTATTGAACTAGCGATAAAGTCAACAGTGGTTGTCCTTTGGATGTACGGGGCCCTTCCATAAGAATGCGGAGTTTCCACTGCTGGCTCAGTGCTGTAAATCAATTTCTCACTTGAGCAATAAATAACTTTGGCTTTTTTATTTTTACAATTTTCAGAAGTGCTCACAACATTTTGGCCACCGAATCCCATAAGATGATATATCTGCTCGACGGTTTAAAACATTTAAAAAGTTGACAGTGATGAACATTGGTTGTTTGAACTACTGGCTGGAAAAGCAATAATCTTCACATAAAGTCACAATCGTTCCGCACAATCACATGTACCATGCCGTACGTGTCTATGTAGGTGCCCAGGCAAGTTTATGTCCATTGATCGTTTAATGCTCTGCTCAGAGATGTGAGGCCCATAGACGTTCAACTCAATTTAACAAATAGCCACCCAGAAGACACAGCCCTTAAGCACACTGACACATGACCGCAAGCTGCCACCTGCCTTCACTCATTCGATTAAGTGGCAGGTGTAGCGCAATAGATCACAGCCACCACGTAGTTATCGCGTTTCATAGCAGCAATGGCTGGCCCTGTGGTTAGCGCACTGCACGATGAACCTGGCGATCTGAGTTGGTTTCCCAAACACGGCTACGGTGGCGAGATGTTAACTACCTTGCCTGGTTTACATGAGATCGTGGGTTCGATCCCGACTCTGACGCCTGCATATTTGGAGTTTGCATGTTTTCCCCGTGGTCGTGTGGATTTTTCTCCAGGTCCCCCGTTTTTTTCCCCCCTCCACATTTAGAATAAACATTCGGTTAGAGTATTTGGCTGCTTTAAATTTCCACGTGATGGTGAGCTAATTTGTTGAGCTATCATTTGTGAAAGCCAGGTCGCTTCTGAAAAAGATTCATACAGCTCGGTGGGCATTACCTGGTTGAATAAAAAAACAATGTAGTAAATAGTTCACATTGGTGGTGATCACACCCCCACTACACTGACCGCCATGGTGAAGTATGGTCAAATAAGCTCCA